CCCCCCTCACGATCCACCGTGGCTCATCGCCTCCGCCGCTTCTCCGCCATCGCTTCAATCGCCACCACTATGGCGCCATCACAGCCCCCAAAGAACATCGTCATTGTCGGCGGCGGCATCGTCGGCAGCACGAGCGCCTACTTCCTCTCGCACCACCCTTCTTTCGACCCTCAGACCACTACCATCACCCTCCTCGAAGCCACCCAGATCGCCGGCGGTGCGAGCGGCAAAGCCGGCGGCCTGCTCGCCCTGTGGGCCTATCCCTCAGCCATTGTTCCACTCTCCTACCGCTTGCACAAGGATCTCGCCGAAAAGTACGACGGCCCGCAGCGCTGGGGATACCGCGGCGTGCACTGCGGCCAACTTGATGCCATCGGGCGCAAGGCAAACAGCAACAAGAAATCCGCAGCCAGCAATGATGCCGACGGCGCCCACGTCAGCCTGCAAAAGCGCACGCCCGAAGCGATTGCGCTACTGCGCAAGGCTGGAGTCCCCGCAGATCTCGACTGGGTTCTACCTGAGGGCGTGCGCGCCTATGAGGAGATGGGCGACCCCAGCACCACGGCCCAGGTGCACCCCTACCAGTTCACGACGAGCATGGCATCGCTGGCCGAAGAGCGGGGTGTCAAAGTTGTGCTGGGCAGCGTGACGCGGATCAACCAGAGCAGCGACAACGCCGTCGAGAGTGTGAGCTATACGCCCAAAGACTCCACCACCGAGACTACCATCCCCGCCGACAGTGTAATCGTGTCCGCCGGCCCCTGGACGCGGAATGTCTGGCCCTCGGCGCCCATCTCGGCCCTGCGCGCGCACAGCGTGACCATCCGCCCGACGCGGGATGTGTCGAATTACGCGCTCTTCACCAGCATCGCGATCCCCGGCTCCATGCCCGTCGCGCCCGAGATCTACGCCCGCCCCTTCCAGGAAGTGTACGCTTGTGGCGAGGGCGACACGCTGGTGCCGCTACCCACCACGACCGCCGACGTCGAGGTCGATGCGCAGCGCTGTCAGGAAGTCATCGACCAGGTGGGTGCCATCAGCGACGAATTGCGCGACGGTGAGGTTACGGCGCGTCAGGCGTGCTACCTGCCCAACGTGAGCCGAGGCGGTGGCGGCCCCATGATCGGCCCTGTTCCTGGTGTCAAGGGGCTGGTTATGGCGGCTGGACACACGTGCTGGGGCATTCAGAATGGTCCGGGGACGGGAAAACTCGTTAGTGAGATTGTGTGGGAAGGGAAGGCAAAGAGCGCGAATATCTCGAGTTTGAGCCCGAGCCGGTGGATGTAGGTTGATGTTTGTTGTTGTTTATGTTGTTATTATAGCGTTGATGCAAATAGAAAGCGAAAGGCAAAAGCGAGATTTTTGTACTAGATTAATATAATAGACTTGTTTCGGACATGTAGGACTGCTACAAAATAAGCTAGCAAACAATCGAGGTTATAGATGAACAGCCTGGTCTTCTCTGCCCAAAAGACCAGGACCAACACTCGAACCTATCTCCGTTTCCTATGTCAACCTCACCAAAAACTGAATCACGAGCACAGATACGAGCGCGTCCCAATGCTGGAAAGCCCCGTTGGTGTGCGGGCGGAGGTAACAGTAAAATGGAATTTGAGGAGATAGTGAAGAAGAAAGAGAGAAGGAAGCATCAAGCGCAGCCCCATACCAAATCCCATGAGCAAGGCCAAGGCGTACGAATGCATTCTCGGATGTATGACAGGACCAATCCCTCCCCGACAGCATCGCATCAGAACAGGACCCTGAACCACGACCCGAGAACTACAATCGCATGCATTCGGCCCCAACACCCAGTGACGATGTAGACCCAACTAAACCCAAGGACCGCAGACCATTCGCACAATCTTGCGGTCTTGCTTGCATCCAATGCGCCGATGCCGATGCCAGTGTCGAGAAAGAAGTGTAGGGAAAAGGGAGCGAAAGTTGAGAAAGAGGAAGAGGAAGATCAATCATCCTACCCATCAACCATTCAAACAGTCCAACTCCTCACATGACCCCCCTGCTGCCGCCACTGTCGCCACATAACCTACCCACACATCAGCATCACCTACACCATACCCACCACAAGGAAACACTTCACTCACCTCACTGCTTCCCCCATCAATCCCAGCCCCATCACCTCCCGCTATCAGATCCCCCCTCTCAAGCCTCGCCAATGTCTCCATGCTCTTGCCCACCATGCCCCGTCGCAGCATATAAGCAGACCGGTGAGGCAGCCGGCGAAGGCGCCTGAGGCGGTGCGTCCAGGGGCGGGCGCAGAGGCCCAGGAAGATGACGCCGAAGAGGGAGAAAAGAATGAGGATCGCTATCAACGGAGCCATTGCAGTGTGGTTTCGGTGTGCGGTTGTGGTGGGGATGGGGTTGGGTGCGCATGCGTATGCGTGTGCGGAGGTGTATGGTTGGAGGGGACTGATGATGAGAGGAATCGATAGTGGAGAGAGGAAGGTGCGAGTCTGGCCAGTCAGCCAACCACCTCGCCGAAAGGAAAGCCGTGTAGATAGGTTGGACTCACTGCCAATTCGACCGCTACCACGCACATCCCCGCTCACCCACACTCTCTTTTTCCGTCCTTCCACTTTTACTCCACTTACCCCATGGCCCCTTTTCTCTCCACCACCTCTTCCATACCTCTTTGTTTCCCCCACGCTTACTCCACCGCCCTCTCACTCTTCTCACTGCCCTCTTCGCGCCATTCCTTGCGCGTTTGACCGTGTAGCGCGTAACGGTCAGGACCAAAACCGTTGGTATCACAATCGCGAGGACGATGGTGGCGGCTTCGGCGATGGGGACGCTCATTTTTGGCTGATTGTTTCTTTAAGGATGAGTTGAGAAGAGGAGATTGGGAGATGGAGGTAGTTCGAGCAATGTGTTGCTGAAACTTGAGAGGGGATGGTGATGGAGTTGTGTGCTTGAATGCATTGGAAGGCTGAGGTGCGTGGAAAGTAAAACGGTAGTTGCGGTGATGGGGTGTTTTTTTTTTTTTTTTTTTTTTTTTTTTCCTGAGTAGGTAGGAACGGGTGTCTCTTGCTGAGGTAGATGATTGAAATAAGAACAATTTTCATCCGCTGGTTCTAAACTGAGGATAGTGTTTCCCACGATGAGGTCGCATTGGTTGGTGCCTGACCAATCCCGTCATGTCCAATCCCGTCATCTGGAGGCAGCGGCTCAGCCGCAGCATTCATGTAACCCCTCAAACGCTGTATGCCCAGTGACCGTTCCATATTGGATGTTCCCTCACCTCTCCCACTTGTCTCTCCAAACGCGACGGTTGCCTCCTCAACTGCTCTTTTTTCGCTTCCGCTGCTTTCGACGCTTCCAGTGCCATTCGCGAAGCCTTCTCCCTCTGTGTGTAGTCGCTGCATTTCCCATTCGTCCTCTGCTGCTTTAATTGCTTCCATTGCTTCCTTTTTCGCATCCCTTTTTCTCCTACAGGCCTGGACACTATTATAGGTTTGTTTGCATGTGATAACAAGGCATGCAAAAGCGCAGACAGGGACCAGTATGAGCGAGATCGTGGGCGAGGGGTTCTGAGAAAACTGCATTGTGCGCTTGCAAGATTTAGTTGTACTCGTACTCTGCTGACTAGCTTGAACGGCCAAGGGACAGAAGCTCGATCGATGGAGGGGTGCAGTAGCGTGCTGATGCAGAATCCAAGTGTCGCACTGAGTGATTTCAAGGCCTGTGATGCCTTGACAAGACGCAAGTTGCCCAGATTGTAGAAGTTTTGCGTGCGACCTCCTGAAAGTATACCGGAAAAGGTGGCCGATTGCCGCTGGTCTGCTCACAGGAAACCTAGTGGAGCTAGAATTCGTAGACCCGTCTCTTGGGACCACAGAATTGCCTCACGTGGCAAACCTCCCCTTTTCCTTTGCGTCCTGGAGCTTCTCACCACATCTCTTTCTTCCGAGTTCTCTGAAAACCCCGGCGTGTGTGAATATGGGAGCACTTGTGAAGCAAAGGGATCGGATGCTTCGAGGCGAGGAAACTTTGAACGTGAAGGGAAGGTTGGCAACAAGCCCTAAAGTGTTATCGATGTCGATGTGGAGGATGTACAAGAGACTTGATAAGAAGATCTTGTTGCAGACGAAGTACTTTTTGCTGGTGCATACAAAGGAAGGTGCGGCCTGGGAACACCGCGTTTTTAGAGAAGACGCTGACCATGTTTAATCTGGAGAAATTAAAGTCAACTACTAAAACCTGAATGCCTAGGTAAAAAGAAAAGCCAGTCAATCGCTCATTCACTCGTGATATAAATCAACCAGTTGTGTATCCGTCAAGCATCGTACATGGACTCCTCGACTCTAGAAGTCCCCACCGAAGTCGTCTCCGCCGCCGAAATCTCCACCACCATCGTTACCATCGTCGTAGCCCTGCTGGTAGCCCTGATCGTACTCATGCTCGTCGTGGTCCTCGATGGCGTCTGCCAGCAGCATACCACCCAGCAGACCACCACCTACACCCAGCGCGGCGGCCCCACCGGCGCCTAGACCGCCACTCTTCTGAGGTCTCTGTTGTATGTATTGTGGCTGGCCGTAACCGCCACCCTGACCGTAGTATCCCTGCTGTGGCGCATAGCCGTACTGGCCTTGCGGCGGACCGCTGTAATATTGCTGCTGATACTGAGGTTGCTGGTGTGGGTATTGTTGTCCGTAGTGTTGCTGCGAGCCACCAGCCTTGCCGAGCAGCTTGCCTAGAAACCCGCCTTTTGACTTTCCTTTGTCATCGCGCGGCGGGAGCTGCTGGGGGTAACCCTGAGCCGGGGACTGTGACTGCTGGCCGTACGGTGAAGGCTGCCCGTAGCCGGGAGCACCGCCCTGGTTGTAGTAGCCATCCGCCGCCCCTCTGCTCGTGGGACGGCCTTGTGCGCGTGCGTCCTCTTCGGCTTGCAGCTGGCGCGCCAGTCTTTCATCTTCGGCAATGCTGTGCGAACTCGATCCGCCCGACGCGCCTGGACCGTATGGGTTGTTGCTGGAGAGGTAGCCGCCCTTCTCAGTAGGCGCAGGTCTCGCTGCGCCTTGAGAGTAGGACGGAGGGGGGCCATCGGGCGCGGAAATTGGAGACTCGCCCGGAGGATAGACAGGTTCGGTCGGTCTCTCCCATTGCGACTTCTTGGTGTAGGTGTTCACGTAGAACCATTCCTTGTACTGTCCATTCCACTGGGCAACCCAGCCCTCAGGAACCTTTGGCGGCGGTGGGCCCTGGAGTTGCGTTGTCAGCGCCGATCAGAACACTTGGCGCGCAGGATGCGAAGTGGGGTAGGACTTACTGGAGGTGGTGCGTAGTCGGCCATGGTGAGGAGGTTTTCGAAAGAGTTTGTGTAGGTGGCGTAGATGGGCTTTTAAGTAATGTCGGATTGCGAAAGCGGGCGAGAGGTTTAAAGGATAGGGAAGCTTTATAGGTACTGTTCCGCAACGTCGCGGAGGTGGAAAGTGGCCGCCCGCTTGCCGCTCGATTGCGTCATGTGCTGTGGCGGTGCAGAATTGAAGCCACAACTGTCTCACCTAAGAACACGCTGCGCCTCAACAAGGTCTGATCGACTTAAGTCATGTGGCTATAGAAACGTCCAGAGCTCCAGAATATGCTTTGCACAAATCTCCAGGTAGTACATATTCGCACCCAAAACGGCCACGCAAATTGAAATTTGCAATTTTGTCATGAATCATACTGATATCTACTCGTGCTTCCGGACCTGATACAGATCCTCAGACTACCTTCATGAGTCGTAAAAGCTATGTCCAGTCTAAGTATCCACCATCGAAGATGATCAATGACCTATGCCCGGATATTCACTCCTTTCCATCGTCAAAGCCATCATCATGAGCTCGTCCACAGCCATGCTACAAGTAGTGCTTCGCCCTTCCTTCTGGCGAGATGGTGTCCCTTTTCGGCCATTCTTTATTGATGACAAAGCCCTCCGTCTCCTCCTGACCAGACCCAAACCGCTTCCATTTCTGTACGAGGATACGCCTGTCGGGACATGGCGTCACCACAAGGCTGGCACCAATGCCTCTGTTGCCAGTCCACACCGAGCTATCCATGATGCCACCGCATATATTCGCCATGGCCTGCGGCAGTGGGCTTGACGCATGGCCCCAAATGGCTGCATGGCCTTCGCCTGGGAAGTAGACGCGCATCTCGAGCTTATTCAGAGGGAAGCGCGGTTGTCGGCTGAAGGTTGAGAGGAGCAGACGCCGGAACGCATGGTTGGCCGCATCGGTAACGGATGGTGCGATGTGTGCGGGGTGCGAGTACTGTGTTGCGGGCCGACCCACGAAAATGTCAGGGACATTTTGAGGCTTGGGATAGGCGAAAAGACCGCTGATGTGTACGCTCCGGACCAGCCGAAGGAGCGCAGGGCAGAGGGCGTGGAAGACTAGGATGCCATACGGATAGGTGAGATAGAGGGCGATACCGCGATCGCGGTTCCGTACCGACTGGAGGTGCCAGGTCAACTCGGCATTGATGTAGCGGCACGTCTGGAGAAGGGCCGCGGGCGCGGCAGGCGGGAGGCGCACAGACGGTGGGGGATTTTCGTCTCGGTTTTCGTCCGTGCAGGTGTTGGCCGGTGCATCTCGCGACGGCGGTGTAGCGATGGAGAGCTTGAGCAGGCCCGGGTGGTAGCCACCCCGAATGACGGGCACGTGGGTTGACGGGAGGCCTGGAACCTGGCAGCCGTCGCCGTTGGTGCCGTCGGCATCCGATGATGAACCATCGCTCTCGTAGCCGCTGTCGGTGAGCGTGCTGGGCTGTACACCCGTCTGCACATCGGTTGCGATGGTAAGACTGTCGGGCCAGAAGATGACAAAGTCGTAGATGAGCAGTCGCAACTCTGAAGGGAGTTTCAAGAGGCGGGAGCGCATGGCGCGTGGAGCGATGGTCGAGTCCGAGTCTCCCATGCCCGGCATGGTTTTTGGATGCCTTCGTTTCGTATCGAGGTTACGGCAAGAAAAGAGCTGACTCCGCCCTGTTCGGGAGGAGCTCCGACGTCACGGATGTTCTTCATGGTGCGGGAGGCTGGTAAAATGGAAACAACAGCCACGATCCATCCCTGCGGCCATCATGTCGCTGTTTCCGCCCCAACAAGTTAACATATCACCTACAACCCTTCGCCTCTTTACTTATTAACGTTCGTCACCGTCATGCATAATTCAAAGCTAACGAGACAACGATGTTTATAAGGAATAGAATCAAAACCCATTCAAGCAGACATCCAGTCCCTGGCTGTTTGTTCTGCGACTTGATCATAACCAAGCCACACTATAAATTTGAACCGCTGACCGGGTTCCCACCTTACACATCTACGCCACTTCAAGCATCAACCTGCAAGCCATCTGTCCCTTCAGTAGCTACAGCGGAGCGATGATTATCATCATCACTATGCAAATCTAATACTCTTTACTCTTCCTGTGCAACAGTGTCTGTTACCACTACGTAGAAAACGCTACTATATGTTATTATTCTATTGTGATGGTGCTTGTTTCCACGTAATAATAATTTATATTATTCCTTTACAGCAATGAAAAAGACATAAGGATATACAGATGTAAAGATATAAAGGCACAAGAGTACTTATATAGAGATAATTGTACAGGAGCATTAGGGCGCGAGGGCATAAAGGTACGAGGGTGTGGATATACTACACACGAGTATATAAATAAAAAGATACGAGGGTGTAAAGGTATTTATAAAGCTACGAAGATTCTGCTATACAAAATATACAAGATTATCTTAAGGGAGATTAGGATAAAAACATCCAAAATAGCCGATGTAATACACGGGGGTATAAGAATAAAATTATACGAAGATATAAGGTCATTTATCAAGTTTCGCGGGGGTACACATACAAAGCACGGGACAAATTCAAGAGAATTTAGAATAAAAGGATAGGAGGATACGAAAGCATCCTATAGGATTATAGGGGTGCTAACATTATAGGGTACAGATTAAGTCATATACCTATGCAGGTGTGGCCTCACTGCGAAACAAATGCACATCGACATCACGCATATAGGTAAAAGGAGACAAACAAGATTGATTCTATCTACGACTACCTTTGAATGCGCATAGCGCTGTCGATGGCTAAAAACATCACCTTTCGGAGTGGAGAAGTCAGACAAGAAACCCAGGTCGATGAGCGCTCGGATGGATGAAGCGGGAGGTACATACTGGACATTCCGAGGGGGCCGAGCAGCTTTGCGCCCGGATGGAGGGCAATGCGAGCGTGCAGGACAGAGGAGTGTTAGTGTATGCGATGGCAGGAGCGACGTGGAGGAACGGAGGGCTTACGGGTTGATGATCGAAGTGTCGCGGAGACTGGTCGCATGGAGCCTTGCGGACTTGCTGTGAATGCGACTCGAGACCGAAGATGCGCGACAAAGAAGCTTAAAGACTAGGATGGTCGTGATGTGCAAAGAGAGCTGAGTGTGCATGGTGAGAACGATAATTGAACAGCACGATGCGCTGCGAAACCTCTCTACTTGGCCAACCATAAAGGTTGTTGCCCAGGGACCACCGCGAGGAGGTGTAGAGTAGGATTTTGATCCCCGGCCTTTTCGAGCACCAAAACGAACGATGGTTACTCTACTTCGGCACGCCAGAGGAGACTACTAGTTCACGGACACCCTTTAAACGAATGATAGGGCGCCGTGACGTTCGTTCTTACGCAAATGCATCCTCCGTTGCAGCCCGCAGCGCCAATGAAAGGACGCCCTCCGTAGAGACCCCCGGCAAGGGGCGCAGGACTTACGAATGTGATTATAGCACTAGGTGGTCGTCTCAAAGAATGTGTCTAGAGAACGGTTTGGCCGGCGTCTCAAAAGAGGTCACCGTTTTCCCACACGAAGAATCATTGACTGGTGCCTGCCAGCCTCATCAACGCAGCTCGAATCACGGCCGCTGCATTTTCACGCGCGTCTGATAAGTGTCAGCATAGTCAATGTGAAAATCATGAAGTAGGATAGGGACTTACAGCACGTCGCAACGAGGCCCCGCTAGCGGGCCGACTCCCATGTTGAATGGGAGACGTAGGGTACTCGAAAGAGTACTTAGGCTTAGACCTAATCAACCCGCATGAAATAATGTCCAAGAAAGACATTATGATAGTGTCTATAAGATTAATGTTAGCAAAAATGTTCAAAACGAATGCGCAACGCAAGGGAGTACTTACTGAAAGAAGTTGAGGGGGGAGGGTTCTTATAAGTCGTCGAAAAGCTTCGAAAATTGTTGGATTCAATAAAGCCTATAAGAGCAGAGTGTTAGCAAGCAGGTTCATAGAGTGTAGGCACAGCAGAAAGAAGATGGGGCATGAGAGTCTTACTTTTCGAGAAGTTTCGTGTACTCAATCGAGGCGACGAAACGTGAAGAGAAGAAAGGGGGGAAGGGGGAGGGAATGGCTTTATACTGCGCGCAGCAGCTTGCGTGATAGCTTGCAAAGCGACAACATGATGCAAAGACTCTGGCTGAGCCATTGCAACGTGGTGGGGCGTGACCCTGAAATCCGGTCGCGAGTCCGGGAACCCGTGGTAGTCCGGGGAAGTGGAGCGCCAACCCCCCAGCTCAACGGGAATCACAACCGGAGTGATCTAAACGCCTGGAAATCTTGATCAGCATCTTCGGTAGCGACCGGTAGCGACTGGTGTCGACCGGTAGCGACTGTGATCGCGAACTTTTGACCTGAATGTCCCTGCGAAGAGATCAATTAGGCGAATATCTAGACTCCAGGGTGTCGGCGGCGAGTGCGGCTAAGTGATTCATCGAGCGCGTCGACCAGCCATGAACGTTTCATCATCGTCAATCCGCTTGGGCCATTACGCCAGCATTTTTCTAGGCTCCCATTGTTTTCCAAATCCCCCTAAAAGGGTCAAGGGTGGTGTTTTTGAATGATAGAGTGCATCGAGGCATAAAGGCGATTGTTTAGAGAAGATATACGATGGACAAGATGAAATTGTGTATTAGAGCATCGAGATAGAAGAACACTTTAAAGCTATTGGAATTGGTTTCCTACCTGATAAAGAAAAAAAGAAGAGATTTGTTTCATCATGCATATTGCAATATTTTCCGAAGGTGTTAATCAAAACAAAAGCTGAAAAAGTATCCTTATACTTCAACAAAAGCATTCACAATAATAACATCTCACCCTTTTCCAAGCCGTTAGCAGTGCTATCCAATATGCTAACTCTCAGATCAAAACTTCTCAACCACAGCTGTCACGCTGGGTTCACCGCCACAGTCCTACGTTTCTCGAAGTCTCGGGTGATTACAACATTAGGTACTCAAGGTGGTTCGGCTTGATTGGCATGAGCGATCCTCGACCAAGAATGAGACGGAATGAGATGAGGTTGAATTTGGCTTCGGATAACGTCGCAACGGTTTCAACACTCACGTGTTGTAGCGCGCCATCGCCAGCCAATCACAAAGGCCCCGGATAATTCGCCAACCCCATACCATTATACTACGAAGTAGTATGGTAATACCGTCATCTTTTTTGTTTATTATATACCTTCGTATAATACTTTCGCACCTTCGTTCCTCTATACACTTATACTACTGCAAGAGGTTTTCGTATGGGCGGCGGATAATTTTACCACCCCCTCTGGCTATTTCCACCACCCAACGTGATCGACCCACGCTACTAATGCACGGTTGTGTAACCATACAACTTTATGCGAGTAACGTCGTTCACCGTGAAGCGAGCCTCACCGTGTAGCGAGCGCTCCAATCAGATGGGCTCCCTAAAAGCAACGATTTAGTGGTGATTTGCGTGTGTTGATGTCAACGAGAGGGGCCACCCACCAAACGAGGCTGTGTTCTGATTAGATCGCTCGCTACGTAGTACACGGTGAGGTTCGCTTCACGGTGAACGACGTTAGGAGCAAACGAATATACAAATACAAAGCTTAACTAAAATAGTTCTAGCTATTACCTATTATAGGGGTGAAATTATCCGGCGCCTTTCGTGCGTCGCTAGGAAGGTTTAAATGAAGACCAGGAAGAGCAAGCAGAGCAGGACACTTCCTTCACGGCTGCACATTTACCAACGTATGTAGCAGGGCTCATGCATATCGCGCCCTTTACATACACTACAATAACTCGGAGGCATAACTTAACTATTGCCATCAAAAAGTGTTGTATTAAGAGGTGATTCACCAAAACAACGAGCGCGAAAGTTGCGAACCAGGAAAAGTGAAAGTAAAAACACAGGACACAGAGACACACCGGGGCCATCACAGTATATGAGAACGCTCAAAGACATCCTTGTCCGGATCCCATGTTGTAAGGTATTAGAAAGGAGGAGAGAAAAAATAAGAAAGGAAAACCGCAACGAAAGTAATATTCGAAAATCCGAACCGAAGCAACAACGAAAAAAGGCCGTCCCTATGCTCACAATGTGCTAAGGTCTGTCTGGTCTTTTACCCCACAATGGCAAGCGATGACGCACAAGAAATGAAGAAGGCAGCATGCATAGCAACCACGAGGGTTCTGTAAGCGCTCAAAAACAAAGGAAATAAAAGACTGGGAGAAGGAGAGTAAGTGTGCTAGGGTGAGCAGAACATCCAGAGATCGTATGGGGATCTCGATGCCTCACGGTGAAGGGAAACGTTTCGGCGGAGCCAAGTCATCCCCTCTCCGCTTCTCCCCCAAATCGCGGAAAGACGCCACCTTGGACATTCGTTTTAACCGTCGCACAGACGGCGAGGCATTGATGGCCGAAGACGGAATCACCAGCGGAGGTGGTTGGGGAAGCGAACGAGAAGGAGGCTGCTGCCTAGGTGAAAGAAAATCGAGAGCCTGAAATTTGAAAACCGTCAGCATCATGTCCAGTCCTTCTGATAAAGCTGACCAGCGAGCGGCAAACAGACATACCTAGGTGACATGGTAGTCAGTCCAGTCGGCTCAGTGAGAGATCCTACTGTCCAGAAGAAAGAAACTCGACCGCCTATCGTTTACTCATCAGCACCTCATCCATTCTCTTCACCGGAAATCCCATATCAGTAAGTTAAACTTGACATACCTTGTTGATGTCATAGTCGAACTTTTCCAATGCCGCCAGAGCATCACCCCTTGCATAACCCATGCCAGTCAAGTTCTTCAGAATCGGATCATCGTGCTCCGTCCCGGCGCTCAACGCACGACCCAGCTGCGGCTTTTCAGTCTCAGCGCTCTTGTCACCAGTGGCCTGGCCTACACCTAGCATCTGGCTGTTCTCGGCGGTGGGCTGCGCGCTCGAGCCAGGTGCGCTTTCGAGTCCGCTGAAAATAGCATCCCAATCGTGGCTGGTGGCGACAGCCCCTTGAGCTGGTGCCTTGCCCTGCGTGCTGGCAAAGCTCTGGGTCAAATGCTCAAAGTCGGAAAAAGAGTCATCGGCCTTGTGACCAGCCTGGTTGGTGGGGGTGGCCTGGCTTTGCATGGTGTTGCTCTTACTGGCAACAGGAGAGTCGAAAACTGGGTTGAACTCGTCAAGGCCTTCACGATGGTGAGGCGAGAAAATGTCGTCATCGTCTTGTTGGCCAGCGTCGTCCTTGGCTTCAGCAAGGTCATCAAAGCCGGAGTCAAAGTCGTCACCGAACGATTGGCGCGAGGCTTGCGGGGTTTGATCGGACACTGCGGAATGGTAAGCATCTGAAGCGACGGTGGACGATGGCGTTGCAGCATTCGAAGGCGTGGCGGAGAAAGGAGGTGGAGCCTTGCCAGCGGCGCTGAACCCGCCAAAGAGCATCTGACCTTGTGTCTGGGGCTTCTCTTGGGATTGCGAACCCTGCGGCTGAGCCGTTGGATCTTGGCGGGAAGGAAGAAGTCCGCCAAATTCCTGAGGGAAGCCATCCGACTCCCTGACGCCACCTTGGTTTCCGGTGGTCTGCTCATAGGTTGGCGGGGGCTTCTGCGCGTTAGGCGTGGGAAGCTCAGTTGTGCTTGAAGCCGACTGAGTGGGCTGCAGACGTTGCTGGGCGAAATCGTCCCCAGCTCCTTCCTTGCCACTGGTGCCAGGTCTAGACTCGCCCCTCTGCTGTTGAGGAGATGAGGGAACAAAGTTGTCATCAAAGCCGCGCTCACTGCCCGAGTCGCTGTCATCCTCAACATTGAGATTCTCAATAGGGGGGAACTCCTGGTTAAACTTTGACGCAGCAGCAGAACCAACTGAGCCGTTCATAGAAGAGCCAGTGTTCTGTCTCTCTTGGAACTGACGACCCGAACCGAAGCCGGCGAATGCGGCGTCGAAGTCAACCTTGGCAGCAGAACCACTTCTGGGTGGACCGAAAGGATCATTGCGCTGGCCGAAGCTCAAGCTGCCTTTGCTTTGGTTGCTCCTGGTGCTTTGGCCAGTGACCTCAGGTTGGATCGGGGTGCTAATATCGGGGAATGCGCCAGGCATATCTGTGGCGGCTGGTGATGGACCGGTGAATGAGAACGAATCCTTGTGTTCTTCGGCTTGAGGTGCAGACTTGGCAGCCTCGCTCGTCGCGCTCACGGCAGGGGAAGCGCTAAGGTTGCGGTTGAATGGTGAGGTAAAGTCTGTGCGATTAGTCTCAGTCCTCTCAAAGGCTGGTTTGTATAATCCATTGTAGGGGGATCCAGGAGCCACCGGAGTTTCGTTACCAGTGCCTCCGTATCGGCTCGATGGAGCAGTGGCCTTGACCGAAGAGTTGAAAGACTCGTTGCGGTTGATGCCTTCGCGGATAGGTAGGATGCTGGACGAGAACTGCCGGGACTCCGGAGGAGCTGGCGGCTCTCCACCACGCGGAGACTCATGGTATGAAGAGAGAGGAGAAGTTGAAGGGGTAGGCACACCTGGCTCAGAAGATTGTACTGAAGGTCCTGATGGAGCAGAGAAAGCCGGAACATTCGGTTCCTGTTTGAAAGAAGTCGATGGGGCGGCGCCAGGTTGTGGGGAGATAGAGGGACCGAAGAAGTTGTCAAAGTTAGTCTGTTCGCGGGAGAAGCCAGAGGGGGACATGGTGTTTTCAGCCTGGGGTTGGGGCGACCTTCTGAAGAAGGGGTTAGTACTGTGGCTGGCGTTCGACGGTGCGGGACTGGCAGCGGCCGCTGAGGATCCTGGCCTGGCTTCAGAGTCGCGACGGTTCTGCTGTGCCTGACGAGTCAGATCATTCATCTCATTCTTGATCTTGTCGCGCTCGCCCTCATTTGTGGCTAGCTGCTTTTTGTTGATTGCAACCATGCCTTTCTGTTGGCGTGCGTCGGAGCGCATCTTGTCCAGTTGAGGACGGAGCTGAGCGATCTCTGCGTTCATCTGGCGAATGCGTTCCTTGAGGCTGGCATTCTCCTGTTGGTCAGCCTGCAGAGAGCCAGAAACTTGTTGATGTTGCGTCTGGAGATCCTGGTACGTTCCCTGAATCATAGCAAACTCCTGCTGGAGCTTCCTAGTCTCATTTCGGGAAGTAGTCAGTTGATCTTCCAAAGATTTCACAACCTTGATCTGCTCCTCGTACTGAGTCCTGAATTGAGACAGGCGAAGTTCGAGGTCGCGCTTCTGAGCACTAGAGCCCGTGAGCTCGGTCTCAGTAGTGATCTTCTTGTTTTGCACCTCTTGCATGTTATTGCGCAGAGTCCCGACAGCATTGGCCATGTTGGCAAGTTCAGAAGTTTCGTCTGTCAGCTTCTTGCTGACTTCTGGGTCGTTGTCCCCAAGAAGGTCGTCCTCTATTGAAACTTGGGGAGGCGGAGCACGAGGTTGAGAACCAGTGGATTGACCGGTCCCTTGCGCTGTCAGAGTTTGACCAAATGAAGAGGAAGGCATAAACGGCTTAAAGATGTTGGAAGGATTGTGTGGCGTAGGCTGGAAAGTAACCCTCCCTGGTGAGGCTGGGGAAGCAGCTTTGTTCCCAAATGGGTCAGCAGTAAAGCCAGCAGCCGAACCGCCAGTAGACTGTGGTTGCACCGGTGCAGGGGCGGAGAAAGCATCTAGACCAAACAAGTCTTCCGATGCCGATTTGGGGAGTGGAGGTTGTGGAGGAGCTTGAGGTTGGGGAAAGTTAGTGCCAAATGCCTCTGCTCCAGCCTGTGTCTGCGGTCGAGCTTGGCCGCGCATGCTCGGAGGCACAAGCATAGGTGGCAAGCTAGGCGGAAGCGATGCCAGACCGGGCTTGGGCCGCTGCTGTCGGATCAAGTACATGGCGACTGCGAACTCGTCCCTGTTCAGTTGTCCCTCGGAATTGATGTCTGCCAAATCCCAAATTGCCGCCAAGACTTCCTCGGGCAAGCCGGAATCACTGAAAAACACGACAGCTTGCTCACCAGTGAGAAAGCCGCGGCCCAAAGTATCGACTTTAGCGAAAAGGTTGTCATAGGACGCCTTTTCCTGGGGCGTAATCAGCCAATCGTTGCCAGTAGGCTGCGCAGATTGCGGAGGAGTCGCAAATGCTGGGCGGCCCAGAGGGCTCTGTGTGCGGCCTGCGGCAGCTCCACTGAGCTGGCGGGGAATTGGAGCGGCTGGAGGTGGTTGGCGCATTGCGGGGGGCGCGCGTCGGCTAGCGGCCTCGTACAAACCAGCTGGAAGGTTGGAGGGCAGACCCTTCATAGCACCGCTCGTGTATGAGGCGATCAGATGCATGGCGATGACGAACTCGGTAACTCCAAGTGCGCCACGCTGCTCTGTGTCTGCGAGGGCCCAGATGCGGCCAAGTGTTTCGTTTGGTAACCTCGCCTTTTCGAATATATTCTTCGCCAATTCTCCTATTGCGACTGTCAATGCTTATATCTGAGAACTTTCTCGAATTCTCGACGTACCTGGCAGAACGCCATTCTGGTGACCCGACTTATCAAACAGCGCGGCATACTGCGCGGCCTTGTCGGCCGTCAGCGGAGGGACGCGGATAGGCCCACCGCTCATCTGGGGCTGGATAGGGCCAGGTGTGGGAGTGCCAACTGGCTGTGCGCCGTCAAACTTCGGGAGAGGGCCAGCTGTTGCACGCTTGTCAGAGATCGTGCCTTTGAAGTGGAGGATAACGGGGGATAGACGTACGTCGAAAGGCTAGCTCAGGACTGGGTTGCCTGCCGGCTTGGAAATGGCCGATCAGACGAAGAACCTGGCAGAAGCCCGATGAAGTTAAAAGGCCTCTGTTCTCTGTGTCGGCGATCTGCCAGATCTGTATCGCGACGTCGGCGCCGTCAGCATTGGAGCCATGGTTAACTCTGGGCTGAACGCACCTCTCCCAGGACTGCTGGGGGCAACTTCGTCCTCTCGAAGAACTTGACGGCAACCTCGCCGGTAACAACGCCCATCTGCTCAGTGTCGGCTTGGCGGAAGAGCTCACCGAAAATGCGCTTCTCCTCGGGCGTGAGGTTGAGTGGACTGTCTGCGCAATGTCAGCATGCACAAGGGCGAGATAGGGGGGACATGACGCACTCAACTCCATGTTGGCTGAGGGGTCGGCCATGATGTTGTGCTAGGCTGCAGGAGCGGGCAGCATGCGATGGGTGGGCGGATGGGCGGGCGGAGTCGTCGAGTACGTCAGGGTCAAGGGTGAAGCCCAGCTTGCAGAGGGAGAGCGGTCGGTCGCGCAAAGGGGTGCACGCGGACGTCGCGCTCTGGGCGGATGGGGATGAGAGGAGAGAGAGAGGCGGAGTCGGGCGACGTGTGGAGAAGGAGAGCTCCGGAGCTGTGCGCGGACGTGGGTGGTGAGCGATGATGGTGAGCTCTGGCGTTGCCGGTCGAATTGGCGCGAGGCGGATAGCCAGGCCGTGCACGGGGCGGGCTCGCATGCATGCGTGACTGACTTGCCGGCAAATTGTTGGCTGCCATCCAGCAAGCCCGACAGCTGCCGTGTAACGCTTCTCGTTCACGAGCCTCCGATGCACGCTGGTCACACACATGAAGGGCGGAGAGGCTTTGATAGTGTGTAGGTACAGTACAACAGTAAAACCATCATCTCCTCCCGTCAATCCCATGGATCCTTCCACCCTCATTCCTGCAGTATCCCAGCGCCAGGCCCGTCGGCTCCCGCTTGCCCCATGCCCTGCCCAGCAGCCAATCCGTGACGCTAATCACCCTCGCCATCTTGTCCCAGCTGTTTCCCTCCTCCGCATGCTCGATCGTGTGCGTAACGACCCTGCCCTCCTCGTCGAACTCGAATATAAATAGCCCTTGGAATTCTTCGTCGTCTCGCGCATCCCCGCCCAGGAACTCGGTGATCTTGTCAACCTGCTCGCCTGCTGAAATTCCTCGGTATAGCGCCCCAACCCCCTTCCCCCTAGTTTTCCCGCATGTCTTCCACTTGACGATAAGCTTCTCGTGCCGGTAATTGGCGGGTCCGCCGCCGTCGCCGTTCCGCGCCATGCGCTCCGACATTACGTCGAGCCTCACATTGCCCACCACGGGGACGCGGCCCCAAGCAACGGGCGCTGTCCAAAGAGCTGCCGTATATGCTATGCGACCACTGACATTGGGAAGATGTGGGTGCGTCGACGGAAATAAGCGGAGCGTAATTTGTGGTGACAGGATCTCCTGGGGAAGAGGCGATGCAAGAAGGGTGGGGAGGCGCTCGTGGAGGATCCGGATTGCTACATCGGCCCATTAGTTCCTGGCTCCATCGCAAACACATGGAGAGGTCAACGTACTCTTGCCCAGCTTTAGTGTGCGCTCGTCAGGCGGTTTTCCACCCTCGGCCTTGTGTTCCGCCGGCAGCGGGGTAGGATGCGACGCGCTGAACCATTCTCCCTTCTCGGTGCCCTCGGGCTGCTGTACTTTGGCGAACGGGCGAACGGATATACGGGCAGTTGCGATAGCGGGAGTGATGGCCTGCCTGGAGCTGAGCTTGTGCGTGCGCGCGAGGCTGCGGAATGGTCGCGACATGCACCGCATTGGGCCGGCGGTCATCTGTAGGTGTGCCAAGTCATGAATGAAAGGGCAGACGGGGTAGAGGAATAGGTGTGGTTATGAGAAGTGGACTGACGGATGGTTTCTCGGGTAGTTAATGCGGGTTATCGATAGCCGTGGGTATGACGTTTCTAGAAGCAGTCTGTGATTGGCCAGGAGAAGGCTGTGATAGCTTCCATTCTTTCCATGCATTTCATTTCCTTCCATCCAACCTACGAAGTACGAATACTGTATAAACAATGACACCGGGTATCAACCAAACACCAAAAAACAGACATCGCTCTCCCGTGGAATTTCTCTAGTTGCGCCTCTCGTCGCGCCTCTCGTCCAGACAGATGCACATGGCCGCAATGAGTGCCTTGTCGACGTTTGGAGCAACTGACACGACATATGTCTGCACTCCAGCAAATATCTCCCTGGCGGTGAAGATATCCCTATTGATCATCGCAACAGGCGCGTTGGTACTTTCGTCCGTGATGGTCGCCTTCGAAGCCGTAAAATTTCCCTTCATGAATAGACTTTCTCTCTTGCCGCTAACGCCGATAAAGCTGCACACAGCTTTAGAGGAACCGACTACAAAGATCGTGAGTAACATATCCGGAAACCTAGGGCAAATCACGTACAAGTAAACTTGCTTTGGACTTCGAGTATTCTTTTCCCGCTTGAATCCTCTGCATAATAACACGGAGGAATTGAAAAATTCTCTTTCCGAATAGTGAACAAGATGTTGCCCTGCAAGTCCATAAAGGCCTTGCGTCTACTGAGTGAGAATGACTTGGCCTCTATGTAGAACATGGTTTGGCCCTCGACCGATTTTATGGTATAATCGTTTTGCGCCATCGGGACCAAATGTTCCTTCACCACCATCGCTTCGGGTTGGCGCGCGAAGTGGGCGGGAAAGAGACCGATGGGTCTTGGGGCGGGCTGGAGCATGGTGGCTGAGCCTGACATTGTGTGGGCAAACTCTTGAAGTAAAATAAAGGTGGAAAGGCTTTGGAAGCGCGCCCTTAGGAGGAAGATAGTGTATAGGTATAAGGATTAATTAGGAAACGGTGATAGGTAAAAGGAGACCTTGGAGGAGGTAATGATGTGCAAGGCAAGTACACCCCGCGAGACCGCATTCTTATTTATCTTCATCAAATGCGCTACTCCCGGTGACACCCAGGCATCAGTCAGGCAGTGCTGACCAGTGATGGGTAGTGCTTAGGCCGCCAACGACGATCGTCACAAGGCTGAGCACCACATGATGGGATTTTCGGGACTTGGAATGCAGGCACGCAGGTGTGCTCCATCATGGCAAAGGAATGCGACATGCATACATATAAGCCAATCACGTCAAATTTTAATTGATTGCGAAGAAGCTTCTGTCTATCAAGATACCTTGGTGATTTAGGAGGTACGTGATACAGATAAGGGCTGAGGACCCAAAGTGATAGAGGCGCTGCGCTAGCACTAACACCTAACGACCGGCTTACTGAGCTCCATGAATATTGGCTACGTGTACCATCATTGATTGGCCGCCATTTGGGGACTTTTTTAGGGCCTGGGGGCCGAAAGACTCAGCCTCAAACTCGAGACATAATGTTAAAAATAACTTTCGCGAGGAGAGCACTCTCTGGGATAGCAGAGGTATGAGGATACGAAAGCACCCCAGAGAGGTATGAAGGTGCTAAGACTATAGGGTAGAGAGTATTTTGTATACCTATGTAGGCGTGGTCTCACGTGGGATATATAAGATGTCTAGAAAAGATATGCAAAACATCCAGAAAGAGTCCTCTACCTATTTGAATGCCGACAGCGCTACCTAACTTTTCTGGCAGCATGACGACTTCACGTCGCTGAACGATCTTTAGACTATTTGCTATGCGGATGCATAAGCATCATCGTCTCATTATGCTGGCGCATATTAGCGTTTCGTTGTACAAGCGTAAATCGTCGTCTCAACATGCCAGGTCACGCCAGTTTTCGCAGATGGTGACGATCAACACTATTGAATCCGCCCACTTTTGAGGGTCCTGTCTGCCTACAGTGTGTACTGCTCTAGGCGTAGGTGTGTGAGGTGGGCCCCCCGGTGTCGGGAACTCAAAGTTGTATTTGGACATCAAACCGCAGAAAATAATGTCCAAAACTGAATGTCTGCAATGCAATGCAGAGAGAGTAGCAGTGACGAAGAGGCGAGCTATTTAAAGTGGCTGGCAGCGGTGGTGGCGGTGCAGTGACTATGTGGCGCAGCACCCCGCGATCTGCATGCGTCATCGAGCCGGCCGCGGTTGGCGGTGATCTCGACGACCGGCGCTCCCGCAGCATCCCTGAAGCCTCCGCGCCTCCACCCCGCCTAAACCTCGCGCTTCTTCCGCCGCCGTGTGACGCCTTCCACTGCCTCGTCTTGTGATCAGTCTTAGCATCTCCTGTCACGCTGTCCACCTATTCCATCGGCCCGACCCTTTCGCCATCATGCCCTCGCCAGACCCAGCTCCTCCCTCTCCCACTGCCTCTTTCTACGACATGAGCGACGACGACGAAGCAGAATACAGCACCATCCGCCACTCGGCCAGTGGCCAGGGCGTGAAGCTGCTTTACTCGAAGAGCAAGGTCTGTACTGCGTATCTATGCCCTTGGGTGCCACAGAAAGCGCCATTGCTGATGCCTAGGCTCCAGGTTTACGTCCACCCCACCAAATCTTCCAAAGATAATATCCCCGGCTTCATCGCTCTTGTCCAGCAAAAGTCTACCTCCGCCCCCGATGCCCGCCCCAGCTCGCCCTCTTCGGTCGCCTCCTCCAACCTCCTCCTAGCCTGGGTACCTGAATCCTCTCTCGGCGACGCACTTGACGCTTATGTCAAAGTCGACCTTTCCGACTCGTCCTCTCCCCCCAAGCAGTCGTACCTCGTTCCTCCGCCCCCGACTACTACTAGCCATAGCAGTGCGATCGGCACTTACGCCTTCGCCGTCCCTGTAAGCGAGATATACTCACTTCTGGTGCGGCCGCCGAGCATCGGGTGGTGGTTTGGTAGCGTCATTATCAACACTAGGGCCGGCGACAGCTTCCCGGCACTATTCTTCCACGATAGCGAGTGCCAGAGCACAATACTGCAGCGCAAGAAGCTGGCGAAGGAGAACTTTGACCCGTTTGGAGATAGTGGTGGCATGTTTTGGGGCGGAGACGAGGTGCTGCGGTGGTTAAAGCGCTACGTCAACGTCGAGCGATCAGGAGCGGACCCTAGCGCCTATCTAATCGAGCCATCGGACGCAGACAAGTTGGGTTTCGGACCAAAAGCTACGACCCCACAAAAAAACAAAGACGCAGAAGCAGGGCCATCAAAATCACCCGCTTCGCGCGATCGAGACGGGGGCATGGATCCTATGACAAAGGCGCTGAAAGAGGCGAGATGGAACTTTTTGGAGAAGCTCTCGCAGGTCACGACCTTTACTCGACGCACAGCTCAGGCTGTGGCGGAAAACCCAAAGGTTCCACCGCAGGTGCGACGCTTGATGAAGAGCCCAGAAGTGGAGCGGCTGCAAGAAGAGTTTGACAGCGCTCGCATCTATCTCGCCCGCTGGGCCATGGGGATTGCTGAGCAGGGCGAAAAGGAGCGTAAACAGCGCATCTGGACGGCCAAGGATGTTCTAGAGTTGGAAGAAAGCGAAGTGGGCGAGTTTGAGATCCTAGACATGGAGGCGGCCAATATGGGCCTAGGCGACAAGAGAAAGCCAGTCACGATGGAGGAATGGAAAGGCTGGTTTGATCCCCACAGTGGTCAGCTGCACGTCACGCCGGACGAGGCCAAAGAGAGGATTTTTCATGGCGGACTGGATCCAAATGACGGTGTGAGGAAAGAGGCATGGTTGTTCCTTCTGGGCGTGTATACTTGGGATAGCTCTGAAGAGGAGCGCCACGCCAGCCTGAACAGCTTGAGGGACGAGTACATCCGATTGAAGGGAGCGTGGTGGGAACGCATGGTCGAAGGCAACAACACGCAAGAAGAGAGCGAGTGGTGGCGCGAACAGAGAAACCGGATAGGTATGTATCCCACGAAGAATCTCAGGGCAAAACCACCGTTCAAGTAGCTAACTTCTCCCCATCCTTGGGGGTTCGGCATGTAGAGAAAGATGTCCACCGTACGGATCGCAACGTCCCCATTTTCGCCGGCGAAGACACCCCACACCCGGATCCCGACTCACCCTTTGCAGACGTGGGCACGAACGTGCATCTCGAGCAGATGAAAGACATGCTTCTGACGTACAACGAGTACAACAAGGACCTCGGGTATGTGCAGGGCATGAGCGATTTGCTGGCGCCCATCTATGCCGTCATGCAGGATGATGCAATCGCCTTTTGGGGCTTTGTTGGGTTCATGGAGAGGATGGTAAGTCGATAAATGCACGAAAATCCATTATATTGACTGACGACATGTAGGAGCGCAACTTCCTGCGCGATCAATCCGGCATGCGCACGCAGCTTCTAACGCTCGACCACCTGGTGCAGCTCCTTGACCCGCAGCTGTACTTGCACCTGCAAGCATGTGACTCCACTAATTTCTTCTTCTTCTTCCGCATGCTGCTCGTCTGGTACAAGCGCGAATTTGAGTGGGCCGACGTGTTGCGTCTCTGGGAGGGACTGTGGACCGACTACTACTCGGCCAATTTCCACCTCTTTGTCGCCATGGCCATTCTCGAAAAGCACAAAGATGCGCTCATGATGCTTCGCGGCTTCGATGAGGTCCTCAAATATGGTACGTCACCACATCCCACTACCGCGATGGTATACACACATCCAAGTCTAACGAACACCTGCAAACAGTCAATGAGCTTTCCGGTACCATCGAGCTGGAGAGCATCCTCATCCGCGCAGAAGCACTCTTCCGGCGCTTCCAACGCACGGTTGAAGCCGTCGACCGCAAGAAATCCTTCCCCGCGCCCTCGAACACGACGCTCCGGCAACGCAAAGCGTCGGCGCCGCCGACGCCCGCTGCAGCCGCTTCATCCTCCTCCATGGCCGACTACAACCCTATTGCGAGCATCGCTGCGCGTCTTCCTGACCCGATCAGAAACCAGATTCCGGCGCAGCTGCGCGGCGAGTCTTCGCAACAGGGTCAGACGAGCGGTGCCGAGCAAGGGAAGGGCAAGGGTAAACCGGGCGAGGCGGTTGAAGAAGAGGACAAGCCAAAGGTGATTAGTGATGAGTTGCGGGTGTTGACGAGTCGGAAGGTGCAGAAGCTGGATAAGAGGGAGATCAAACGCTGTGGAGGGGGCGTGGGACCCGGAGCTTGAGAGCCTGAAATTGAGCTCTGTTTGTTTGTTTGCTTGCTTGCTTGCTTGCTTGGCTTCCATGTTTTTTGGTGAATGCGTTACGCGGGTGCACTTGGATCGGGATCGGTGGGGGCGTTTTCGGTTCAGGGCGGGCGGGTATTAGGTAGTTGTTTAGTTTACATACACACATATGCCATCAGCAATAGTTGCAAATCTCGCTGAACGCAGATCCCCGCGAACCATACGCCTCACTCCTACGCCAGACCGAGCGCCCACTCCCACAGCCTCCTGAAGCATCCCTCGTGGGCATGCAGGCCGTTCGCAGCGCTGCCTTTGCGCTCTTCTTACTCGGCTTGCCCTGCGCCATGTTCCTTACCTGCGCACGCCATTTCTCCTCCTTACACGTCCCCTCCCTATCCTCACGCGAGAGGACGCAACCGCGCAAGGGGGGTGGGTCGGATAGGATAGACAATATCGCCGCTTGGCCGCGCTATCGAAACGAGGCGCCAAGCTCGTGGCTAGGCGTGGCGGGGCGTGGCATGGCAGGGGGAGGGGGTGCGGTGCAGTGATTGACATGACGGCATGGCATGGCGTAGTGTAGGGCAGCGCTGGTGGTACATGTAGCGCAGAGCGCGCGGGCGGGACGCGAGCGGAGCGGAGCGGGGTGGGGTGGGGTGGAGTGGGTGTGGGGAGATGTGCGAACGGGGATGTAAATCCCGTCTGCGCATACCGACGAAGCGCTTTTTAGCGGGTGGGAGGTGCTGATCTGCACGAGTGTAGGAAGGGCAGGCTGGGCAGTAGGTCTGGGCAACGGTCACACTATTGGAATCATCTTCTTCGGCAGCACTGCTCAAAAACTCCTCGCATTACGTTCCCTATACAGTGTCCAGCGGGCCGCTAGTTTCCCTTGGCGGAGCACCCAAACGCTGACGGG